CACAAAGTTGTCAGTCTATGCTAAACACAAGGTTGTTGCTTTGCAAATTTTACATTTCAATATATTTTACTCACTAGAAAATTTTATTCATGAATATAAAACAGATAACCTACTTTTATGTGAAATTTTGAGTTAATCAAAGCAAAACATTTCTAAAAGTTTAGCATTGTACAGTTATGAGAAACTTACTGTAGCATGCCATACTTTATGAAAGCGGTGGACACAGATCACTTAAACTGAAGATTTACATATGAGGCAGCCACTGGACGGTTAATTAGCAATAGCAAAGATTTTTAAAGCAAAAAGAGACTTTCTAAAGAATTAGTTCCTAATTTGCATTCTGCAAAGGCCTCCACATGCATTTTTCGGGTGCTTAGTTGCTCCAAGAAGGTAAGTAAAAACTAAACGAAATTAAATAACAACATAAAAAGTAGAATTAAAATAAGATAAAAAATGCATCTTGAATGTGGAAATTTATCAATATGAATTTTGAATCTCTTCTGCAGATGATGTTTGACCTTTCTTAGGAACTGCACATTCGAGAAGTTTCTCGCTCATTCTCGGTTCTTCGAAAACTTTTAGAATCCACTTGTTCTTCCACTGAAGTTTCTTGAAATTTAATCCCACATAAAAACAAATGGTTAATTGACTGTGAATGCCTTCACAGTAAATATGCATAGCTATAGTATTGCGATTTCTCATGAATTTTCTGTGCATTTTATTTCTTTGTGAGGCTTCATGATGTAGCTAATAAATGTTCATTAATAAATGCAACAACAAATAACATAAGCTATATAAAAATCATGAAATCTTAAAAAAGAACTCTGTAAACAAATGTCTGAAGAACATGGTAAGCCACACTTAGTTCCTCCTTCAACAAACACACTATAAAGTATTTGTCTTGAAGAAAAGTTTTGATATATTAGATGAAATTGCAAGCACAATTAATGGCATTTTAATGGGCCATAACACTGTATTGTAACAGTTTAATATGATAAAATCTGGGTGTGTAAAATGACATAATCACAGAATTTACAGCAAAATGAATCCTTCATTGGTAAGGCAAAATTGTACAGTACATTCTTTAAGAGGCTACTTTGTACTCGTTGGAGCACACAGAAGAGGATGATAATGATGACATCCTTCTCACAGAAATCTTTGGAAAAAAATAACATCAAGATTCGAGAAACAAATGCAGAAAAAGATTTGGGTGCATCTCGAAGCTTTGAAAGACTCCTTGAAATTTATCTTTCTACTACTTAAGAGAATCTGCCTGAATGATTTGAATGGGTATTCAACATGCCTGAATGATTTGAATGGGTATTCAACATGTTCAAAGTAAAACAAAATATCCAGCTACAACTCAATGCCATAGATTTTAGAGGAAACTAAAAACCCTGTTTCAAAACCAAAGCCTATTGGAATTTTGGCTATCTAAACATGAAATAAAAATCTTGTTAAAGAAGGGAAAATTATTACTACGGTATTTCTGAGCTACAAGTGCCTGAAAGGCGGATTCTCTGAATGGATGGATAACAAAACAACATACAGAAAAAAGCATTTGCCTGCAGTTACAAACAGTTGAACGTAAAATAAGCAAATAGAGCACAAACAACAATCACTGGGATTCATTTAGCATCTTTTATGTTATGTCTTAATTTAGGCCTAGAGGACATTGTAGTTACATAACAGCAAAATTAAAATGCAATTCTCTCTTATATGGAGTAATATACATTTCAATTAAGAAGTAATCAACAAACATGTATTTGAATTGAACTTTCTGACATGACTAAATTTCAGGAATTATTTTTTTTTTTTTTTCTAAAAATGTTAATATCTTAGCAGTAGTGAAAAACATCTCTTGTACCACTTACTGCTTTACTGAACTTTGTTAGAATGTTTATGCACAGTTAAATTTTGACAATGTCACCTTGAGAATACACTGAGATATGTTAATTCCAAGTTTTTTAAATATAACTTCATGGACATTAGGAAAATGTTTTAGATATCTTCCCACTTTACATTCCTTCCACCATCTGTACCATTGCAATACCCTTCTTAATATTATTAAACATCATTAACTTTTAACTAACATAGCACTTACAGAGCAGTTGGTTCTAAAAAGAGCAGATTTCTGAGAACTAGTGAAATTCTTTAGCATTATGTGAAAACTGAATAAACTGAATAGTTACAGCAAGTACTACTTTGAAGACCTTGAGAACCATAAGTTTACTTGCATAAGTTTTGTCAGCAGATTTATGCAGCAAATATGCTTCAGAAAATAAAACAATTTTTCAATTAAATTCAGGGACCTCATAAAACACAACAGCAAATCTTCAAGCAAAACATGACCTTGGGGCTAATAATTTAATTCAAATTCTGCATAATGTTAGAAGACATTTTCAAAAGCAACATGCTTCAAAGAATTAAGCATGAACCATTTAGGGAAAAAAAAAAAAAAAGAGAGAGAAAAATTAAGCCCAAGTTCAAAGTAATATCTATATGATTTAAGATCCTTCACTTTCAGCAAGTACTTATAACCTGGTTGTTAACATAAAATGCTTCCGATTAGAAGTTCTGTACTTCGAATATAATTCATGGTAGTAGTGCTTTTTACCGATATCGAAAATTTCTTTTAATGTTATTTTATTTTGAAGTAAAATTAATACATGGAACACATTTTGAAAAGAATTAAGAAGGATAAAGGAGAAATGATAGATTTAATAAAGCAAAAATTTGCAAAAAAAAAGCAATTTTTTATGCACTTTGTTCTAATTTACTGCACTTATATATATATTTATTTACAGCTGTTAAGTGACATTTGCTACGAAAATGGTCAATATAAAATACTGGTAGTGTGCACATTAAAGACACAATAATTTATCTTAACTTATTTATTTAATGCAAGTGAAAGAGAAAACTTATGAGAATACAATGTGGAAAAACCTAAATATTCCACTGATGTACAATAGGGATGTGTATGAAAGCCGATGAGTTTTTTTCTCGCAATTTAAAAGAAAACCTGTTCAGGAAAAACTGTGACAATATTCAATATGTGCAAAATCAGGCTTTTTACATATTCAATAGTTTCGTAAAAAATATCTCATAATTGTAAATAAATTTGCAGAAATTGGAAAAAACAAAAAACATATGAGCAAAGTTTCAAATGAACACAGAAATGACATATTTAAAAAATGTAATGAAATGTGAATATTTTATTTATTTTTTGGTATAACTTCCTCTGCAAAAAACAGGTAACATTGATTACAAAATACGACAGCCAACTGAATAAGAATGACAGACTTCTGGCCATAAGGTTACCATCACTGTGATAAAAATCACTCGAAAACAAAACTACAACTTACATGAAAAATGCCACCCATGGCAGATAAGCCATTCTCCTTTCTAGAGTTATGCACTGTGTGTACTTCAAAAACACATAACATTGTGCAAAAAATGTATGATTGTGATGTTTTGTTCCATAATAAACAGATGCTAACAAGCAAGAATTTATCAACTGTCCTTAAATCTTTTATTAAAAAAATTGAAAAAAATGGAAGAATCAGCATACTTGTTCACTTTTGAAAGATGCCTTACATTTCTAAAACCTTCACATGAAAATTTTATCTAGGTGAGTAACGTTTTCTTAAGCAATTTCTAGGTGCTTAAGAGAACTTAAATTTTATTCTAAGGAACCTCCCAAGGTCATCAAAATAGTATCTTACTCTTACGAAACTAAAGAACACTGCATTCTGGGTATAAAAAAGCTTGTGTTTGTGATCTGTACTTTTTTTTTTTTTTTTTTTTTTTTTTTTTTTTTTTTTTTTTTTTTTTTTGTATGAAAGTTATGTCAGACTGAAAGTTTCAGAAACCTCACTTTATTTTTAACTCTTAAATATTATTACCAGAAAATATTTACAAATACCAGGAGGCAAAACTCTCACTCTGTGATGAAAGCATTAAGTTTGCTTCTGATTTGGAAGATAAACTGGGTATCTTCGCAGTAAAGCATTTCAAAATAGTTTTTAATCTTTGGTGATGAATGATACAGAGGTTTAATTTTAATGTGATATACTATACTCATTCTAATGCATAGCAAAAATATCTCTAATGTGTTCTAAGAGATAATTTACATTAGTAATGCTTGCATTTGAGTGTGGTTCAAGCACACTAAGCAAATTCTGTGGCATTTCTATGTACTCCCATAAAGTGTTTCTCACTTTTTTAATTTAATACAGTAAAATTAACAAATACACATACTTTGTCCACAAAAATAGCATTAGTTATTCACTCTATAACCATACTTAAATCTAAAGTGGAACTACACACAGTTTAATATATATTTAAAGTACTTTTATCTGATGTCCCATTCAAAAAATGGGTTAAGTTTTGAAAATTTCTAGCATATGCGACTTTCATGCCACAAAAGATTACTATGTGCAATACACATTTTAAATGCATTAAATTATTATGATGCAATTTTCTATTTATTTGCACAAAACAATTAGAAATATTAATAAAGATTAATACAGGATCTTAAATTAAAATACATTTGTGTACTCTTTCTTTAAAATCGTTAGTGTTTTTCCCCTTAAAATTGTTAATATTTTCTTTGCATAAAATTATTAAGCTTTTCCTTTAGAACATTTCCTTATTCAATGTTTCAATAGAAATGCTCAAGTCATATCAAAATATTTTCAATCAATAAGAATAAACTAATAACAATTTAACTTCAGTATTTACCAATATTTAAAAAATATAAAATCTCCAATTTAATTTGTTTATCAATCCATTTGCAAAATCAAATTCTTCAAAAAATGAAGTCCGGCCAAAAATATATAAATAAATAAATAAATAATAAATAATAAATAATAGCATAATAACAAATAAAATAAAGTGATTGCTTTTTCCAGTAAATATTTTTAATCCCTTTTGGGAAGGACAGTGAAATTAATTCAGAGTTAATAACAAGTATTATAACAGGACAGAAAGGAAACAACCTGCAGCCGGAAGATTCACAATAGTTGAACTTTCTGAAGGTGTTTCAATAACAGGCAATTCACCGAGGAGATCAGCAAGTATTTCTAAAAGTTTGAAAGAAATAAATATTTTGTCTATATTATACCAAAACTACAAAACAAAAAATAAACTGCATCTGATCTCAAGGAAAAAAAAAAATCTTTAAACATAAAATTCTTGTTTATAAGATATTTTTGCATAAATTCTTTATCCCAAGGATGCTAAAACTAATATGCATATTCACATACACCTGAACCAACTTAGCTGCTCACGGTATTTAAGCTGACTTTATGCATCAACAATAAAAATCTAAACATTTTATCTCAACTTCCTGACTGTTTTAAATACAGGGAAAAATACTATTCTGACACCTGTGGATCTCCTAGTGAAAGAAATCATGAATGTCATTCAGCAGTACAAGTTAACAATTTAAGATTGAAAACTGCTTACAGTTATATATTTTTAGAAAGGATTAGATTGGATTACTTAAGTAAGGGAAAGCACTTGAGGGCCATCTGCCAAACAAGAAGGATCCTTTGCCGTTGACATTCAAAAGGTTTTCCAGATGAGAAACCATACCAAAATTCTTATAAAGTGAATTCACAAATTAACAAAGAATACAGAAAAGTCTCAAGAATTTTTACAGCATCAGATTTCCATATTGTTAGTGATTAGCATAATGTATTAATGCTAAAATTAATCAAAAATACAAACAGGTGTAAATTTTACTTTGCCTGTAAAATATTATTAGGCAAAACCAACTAAAACCCATTTGTTAACCATAACTATGAACAGTAAGATAAAAGGAATGTGTAGGTGAAGTTGTACATCACAGCACATGCCCTTGCTAATGTGCAGTATAAATCATGTGGCAATGATTTTTGTATTTGCAGAAATAAACACTGAAAGATGGAGTTCTATATATAAAAGGCTACCAAATAATATCAACTTAACTGTCATAGAATTCCTCAACTCTAGAGGACATCAACCAGTATAAGTGTTTTGCTGGATGAAGGAGGTTTATATCCATGTCTGCGTTTTGAAAACAACAGTGTTGTGTTAGGTAACATACCATGAATGAAAAAGTTACTGCTCCCATCCTGACTGACATCTGCAATGTCAAGTCCATGTTGTTGTAACAGAGAGCAACTGCACATCAGTGAATGAGGTGAGATATTTCATAGATATATTTGGGTGAAGACCGCTGTCCATTAATTGCTCAAAAGCCACAATTAGAAGAATGTCTGAATGACCATGTGACTTTTTCTAAAGAACAAATGCTGTGACATAACATGGACATCTGTACACAGTATATAAAATGTAGTTTAAAAAATTATTTTTGCTGATGCAGTCTGCAAGTGGGTTCCAGCTGATCAACAAATATACAGCGGAATTTGAAATAAGTGGATTTGACGGTAAGTTAAAAAAAAAAAAAAAAAAAAAATGACCATAGCAACACTAAAAGGGTAAGATTTTATACTGATATAAGATTAGTTTATTATATAAACACAAATCATCAATATCTACATGCAAGGTATAACAATCACCAGAATGCCATTATAGATCTGTCTAAAACAGATGCATTCAGATAAGAATATATCTGAACTATATAAATAAATTCCAGGCTCAAATCAAATATTAAATACTTAATAGAAAGATATAAGACAGCCAAGCATTGATTTTAAAATAAAAAATGGGTGACAGAAATTTAAAGGAGCATATCAAAAACCAACTTTTGCACAGATTCTTGGGAAAAGAACTACTAAAATCCTAGAACTGTTGACGGCAGCAAAAATGTCATAAAAGGTTGATATGTGAGTAGCATAAGAAATTCAGAGATGGGAGAGAAGATTAACAGAGAATCCTAGAAAGAGACAACCAAAAACTGCAATAGCAAACATTAATATTTACACAGAGGGAGGTGCATTACACTCAAACAGGTCTCACAAACACTCAACTTAGTCAAAGATACATAATTGAAAAATTTTAAATTAACAAAAAATTATTTTAATTGAAGACACAGAGCTGAAATATATTTCTGCCATGTTCTGATTCTCACACATTTTCAGCATCCTTGTGAAAGACTGTCAGACTTCAACTACATCTGTTAGTTGTATTATTAGAGCAGTAAGCTATAAAAACATATTAGTGGCACCACACCAAATACAATGGTTAAATATCACACATATTCAAACATTCTAGATGATGACAATCCTGTTTGCATACTTATAAGGTATTTCTTCCGCTTTCCAGTGTGCCTTCGTGGTGTAATGGTAGCATGCTGGGCTGGTATTCCTGAGGTCCGTGGCTCGATTCCCGGTGAAGGGGGTTGCATATTTTTCATCTTTTCTGCTTCCAATTAACCTAATGACTCTACAAGTGGCGCCCGAACTAAAAGGGTTGTGGATGATGATTCTCCACACCCAGGATTTTGCGACTAGGTCCCCTAAAATCCTAGTCGCCCTTTAAAAAGGGGAGTATATAAGGTATTTCTCCCGCTTTTCAGCGTGCCTTCGTGGTGTAATGGTAGCACGCTGGGCCGGTATTCCAGAGGTCCGTGATTCGATTCCCAGCGAACGCGGTTGCATATTTTTCATCTTTTCTGCTTCCAATTAACCTAATGACTCTACATACTCACTTCAGGCTTATAAATAATTTACTCAATAACTGATCCTCTGCTTTGTGATATGACTCTTGTAATCATAGTACACAGTAGTGAAGTCGTAGTACAGATCACCACATTCTCTTATTTGCTTCAAAATTCCTACCAGCAATGCATTTTGTGGCCCAGTTCAACATTAACTTTATTAATAGTACTTCTCCATTTTCTGTGACAGATGAAGCGTTGGTGCACTCTAACCTCTTAGGACATTTCAATAAACATATCAAAGTGGTCTATGATTGCACATTATTGTGTTTTAGGAAATGCCTTTATAGATGGCAAATACATTACTGGACAATTAATCCCAATACTGGATCTTCAAAAACGGTATGCTATACCTACCTGCCTTCCCTGCGAATTAAGTACTTTAATGATGATGCAGTGACACAATGAAAAAAGTTAAAATGAAGACCTCAGTGAAAAAACAAAAGGCTTGAAGTAAACAATCATGACCCCTTTGCTTATTTCTATGCAGTAAAGACCATGAAGGCTACTTGCCTCAATCCTGATTCTGAAATCAATATGAAATGAGACAGAATTATTTTGAATGATGGCATCAAAAAATAAAATGGAACACAAGAAAATACAAAAGCAGATCAGAAATCCACATAGTTTGTGGTCAGAAGCTGTGCAACTTTCAGGTTATAGCAAATAATCATATATCAAGAAACTAGAAAAATAACAACAATTAATAAAACATTACACACAGCACATTAAAGAGAATTTAGTGTTAAAAAACCAGGCATAAGAAAATAAAATATACAGAGACAAAAAAACATATTTTTATATTTTCCAAATATCTGTTTTGCAGTAGCTTATTTTAACACTTAGGAATGTTCTAAAGTCTCCCACTCCCAGGTTATAAATAGCATTATTTCTAGATCAATTATATAATAATATAAAGTCATACTTCTCGACCAGTTGTAGTTTATTACTCCTAGAAATTCAAAATACTGCTTGCTTAAGTCCAAGCCTTCATCAAATGGTATTTCATAGTATTTAAGTTACCAGTAGATTCTTCTTGTGCTTGATTAAACTATGCCAACGATTTCATCCCTGGTCCTTTTCACATTACGATTTCTATGCATTTATTGTCTGCTTTACAATGGCTTATTCTTGAAACACTTTCAATTTTTATAATTTCATTTGCATACAAAAGAAATTCTTTAGCCTTTATAGGATTCACATAACTCCAGGAAATCAACACCATCACATTTTGTTTCAATACAAAGTAAATAAGACTATAAGCTATTGATTCAACAACATCAACTCAGGAAAAAATTCCATGATTTAGTTAGCAAATAATTAAATAATAGTTTGCTGCCCAGTCACTATAGTGGTCAGGGAAGCTGACTGAAATGCTGAAGGGCCTGGGTTTAAATCCCAGAGAAGGCATGGTTGTAACTGTCCGTCCCTTCATAGGAAAAGCGATGGTGGCCAACTATTAGGTGCCTCCATAATGAAGAGACCGCCACATACGGCCTTGTATAGACTAATGGATTGGGTTACATTTGTAATTGTTCACGATCTGCCATTGGAAAAAAAAAAAGCAAATAAATGCAGTCTCCAACTGCAAAATAACTTGTCAGAAAGTTTAAGGGAAAGAAGGATCAGTAAGAAGAATACCTTAAAAGTTCTGATTAATACGGTCATTTAAAATTCTGTATGATTCTTTGAGCTACAGGTAAGATTACTGCAGTACCAACCAAGAGGGAAAGCTGGGCCAATATATTGTCAAAAGATCTGCTGCATATGGATGAGTGGTAAAACTGTTACACTACGTTTTTACGCTTTTCAAAGCCTGTTGATGAGTATTCTAAGAGTTTGCACTCATAAATCCCAACACTACTGCTATATAGAAGAAATGTAATATTCGCTTTTGCCTCTTTCATTGCTGATGGCATAAATAACCATCTTGGGGTTTAAAAATAGAATCTTTATATTTTTTGCTTGTTCTCTGATTGTATGCACGTATATACACTATGCACAATCTTTAAACTTAAGTCTAAGATGAGAATATTCACATAAACAATATTATGTGCCCAAAAAAGTATGACTGCAGTATTCAAATTTTATCTTTTTTCTCCTCCTTTTTAAGCTCAAAACAGGAAAAACAGCCTTTGTGTATATATGTGCATTCATGCAAAAGAAAAATATTTCTCTCTGCTTGGCCAAGCTTTTGTTGCACATTTTTAATAAGGATGTTTGATTCTAAGTAAAACTGAAAATACTTACAGAAGGATACAAAGAACAAGGAGCTACTACCAAGAGAAAAAATTATCTGATGAGAGTTTTTAATCAGAACAAATTATGGTAAATAGCATTAAGTATCAAGATCAAATCAACCCTAGTAACAACAACTGCATGATTGTCTCATATGGATGTCAATATGAACAGAAAAAA